CCTTTGAGTTATCTCTCCAAACCAGATAATAATTCTTTTACTGTTCAATGAGGAAAATAGGGGGGAAATTTACTGTGATATATATGGTAGAAACAGGTGGCCAGAAAATAACAGAACCAATTTGACAAGATTATGAACACAATACAGATATTAAACATGTTAAAGATGATTTTTATGATGAAGGGAAGGGCAATGGGAATAAAAGGAGAAAAGAAAAATATTAAAAATAAGAGCCTTCAGAGAGAAAGGATAGACATAGAAAGATTGCATTCATCTGGGGAACATAAAGTAACAAAATAGGAGACTAACACCCAAGAATGGCCGAGATTAATACCAGGAATTTTCCTCCATGGCTTGGAGGCCAGCCACACATGCTAGGGGAAAAGGGAGCTCAGATAGAGAAGGGAGCACCAAATAAAGGGTGTTGGGAAGATCCTCCCAGGATGGGAGAAGCATGCTGAAAGTAGACTATAGACCAAACATGATTGCCACTCAATGCCTCTTTTGCAAACCACAACACCCAATAAGAGAGGGAGAACAAAAGGGAATGCCCTGCCACAGAGGCAGGGTGGGATGGGGGGGATGGGGAGTGGGAGGGATACTGGGATCCATGGTGGTGGGAAATGGGCACTGGTGGAGGGATGGGTACTTGATCATTGTATAATGGAAAACCAAGCACAAAAATTTGTAAGTCTACAACTGTACCTCATGATGTCTCACTAATAAAAATTAAAAAAAAAAATAAGAGCCTTGCTCTGACCAGTAATGACAACGTGCCTTAAACCCAGAATCCAGAAGTATATATGATTCAGCTCATTGTTCTTGAGTTAAAATTTTTAAAGTGTGTGATTGTGTGTTTATGTATATATGTATAATATGTCTAAAATGGTATTTAAGGAAGTGTTTGGGCTATACCTGGCAGTGCTCAAGAACTATTCTTGGCTCTGTGCTTAGGGGACTATTCCTGGCTCTGTGCTCAGGGTTTGTTCCTGTTAGTGTTCAAGAGACCATCTGCCATAACAGGGATTGAAAATTTTTTTCTTTTGACATTTTGGGTCATATCCAGCTGTGCTCAGGGCTTACTTTTGGCTCTACACTCAGGAATTACTTCTGTCGGTGCTCAGGGGACCATAGGGGATGCCAGGGATTGAACCTGGGTCAGCTGACTGCAAGGCAAATGCCCTACCCGCTATACTATTGCTTGGGCCCCAATAGGGATTGAACTGGGACTGGCCACATGCAAGACAAGTGCCTTAACCCTACTACTATCTCTCTGATCCATGAAAAGTTACATTTTTAAGGATTAATAGAGGTTATCTCTGGGAGTGGTACAAGGTGAATTTTTTTATCTGCACTGAATAAATAAATGTGTAATGAATATTTATATTTCAAAAACTCATCTTAAAACTCAGAACATCTTTCTTTCTTGTATTAATGAATGATAAATTCAGCTGCTTGTGTGGTCACAGTCATTTTATTGTTTTTCTAGAATGTTCCAAAATAGCTCTGGAACAAGACCAGTGGGACCACCAGATGTCTATCTAGCCTCACCCTTCTTCCCATGCAATGAGGATCAAGCCTCCAGTGCGGCTTTGTCAGAAACCTCTGTGGACCCGGAATAACAAGGGCCCCTTCTTGGTTGGGAAAAGGAGGGGCAGCACTCATAACTCTCTGAGTTCATGTACAAGTTTGGTAGCAGTTGCCAAAGACAAAAGGTCCCACCTCAAGGGTGGGGATCTATTTGCAGCTTTGTAGACACAGGTGTTCTTCCAGTGGACTCAAGACTGGTGGTGCGGGAGAGTGTTTGGTGAGGTATATCCCAGAAGACTTTCCCTTCAGAAGCCAGTTCTTGAGGCCTTTAGTGTAGATTCGAATTATATTTGGCAACACAAACCAGAGAGGTCAGTGGCTTTGCTCAGTAGGTGGAGGGAAAACTATTCCTGATTTATAATTCCAGCTTCAAACCAGAAACAACAATTTTAAAACTCAATTTATTTATTTTGCACTCACAAAGCATACTTCTAGAGCATATTTCTCCTTCCCAGTCCTACCAGCCTCTTGGAAATCTTTGTGAACCAAAGGTGTAAATCACCTCCTTAAGCCATTCCTGTAGTAGAGGACATTTGGGGACATCTGACTTAAGAACCCAAATGTTAAAATTATCCCACTTTACCCTTTGTGTTTTTATAGCATCAAAATAGCCTGTAACACTTGAGTGCAAAACCTAGCTGCAGCATTTCATACTCACTGTGTGATCTTGGCTAAGTTACTCTATGTCTCTGAGGTTCGGTTTCCTTATCTACAAACAGCTAATAACACCTACTTGACTGGGCTGCTGTAAGAATTAAGTGAGATAAGGTGTATAAAGTAGCTAGGAGAATGTCTGATAAAAGCAAGTGCTAAAAAAAGAACCCTTTTCATTCTTCCCCAACACTCCCTTCACCTTTAGCTGTGCAGCCAAGGTGTTGGCTTTTCAAGAAATCATCTGGTACCCTAGGTTTGATTACAAGTGGATGGGAGTGTTCCCACAGCTAGCAACAAGAGCAACAGATAAAAGCTACAACGACTCTTGTCTGTGAGGACAGGTCGGAATCAGTTCACAAATGACTCATCTTTGTTGATAAACCATGTTCCTTGCCACCAGGATCCTTATCCTGACAGGCTTCAACACCTTCTTAAAACAAAACAAAAATTCAGAGTGTTTAAGTTGAATGGCTCATAGAGAAGTTCCTCAAGGTGGGTTGACCTTCAGTTGATCCAAACTGGCCTTAGGAGGGTCTCTGTCTCTTTAGAGACTGAAAAGTCCAATCACGGGGTTTTCACTTGGGAAGAACTCCAGCTGAACAGCTGCCTCTTTCATCTCAGAGCTCAACTGTCTCTTTCACTTGCCTTGGATTCTCTAGAGGGAGTCATAAGACTCCCTAGACAGAAGTCTGGATGCCAGTTCCCTGCTCAGAACAGCCCTTAGCTAGTGCCCAACCTGCCTTTGGCAGTTTTGTCTACTGGCTGAAGTCCTGCCAGGGTGAGGTTTGGCTGTGGGCTCTGTGGCTATGGGACAAATGTTGGCTCAAGGAAACCTGTTTAATCCCAGGCCACTGTCTGCAATGGTAAAGTGTATACTACTTTCTGCAGTCTCTACAATCCCTTCAGACCACCCATAACCATTCATTGGCCCCCAAATTCCATTTCACTAGAATTTTCAGTTGCTCTTCCATTCGTACATGTATCCTTTGCAGTACCCAGTGATGGAGTTTCCTCTAAGTGATTATTTATTAAAAGGTCCTTGAAGACAGTGTAGTCTGTGGCTGCATTTGTACACCTCTCAGTATAGTTCGTTGTCCTATCTGTAAAAATCATTTGTACACCTCTCAGTATAGTTCGTTGTCCTATCTGACTTTTACAGATAGGACAACGAACTATATGACACATCCACTCTGTCAACAACCAGGAGCTCAAAATAGAGGTCTTGTTTGGTTAAGGAAATCGCAAGTGGTGTAGTCTACTACCTCTTCCTCAACTGAAATTGCTTCTCTGGGCACCAGATTTAGGACCTATTCCTGAATGCACACGAAGATTCCCTCTGAGGAATTATCTATGGAAAGAGCCTTGGGATAAGCAGTTGTGGCAAAAGATCCAAGAGAACATAGGTTTCCTCAGAAACATTTCCATCCTCCAATTAACTCTCAGATTTTCCTCACAAGGAAGGTTTCTGCGATCGTTTATAAGCACTGTCCTTTTCAGCCTAACTTTGAAGTGGAAAAGACGGGGACTTCCTGGAAAAGGCAAGTTGTTGTTGTTGTTGTTGTTGCTTGCCGCTGCTGTTTTCTCTATTCTGGGTCTTCAGGATATTGGATGAGACAAATGGGACCGGGAAATCAGAATCAGGTGTCCCCTCGAACACATCCTCCTCCCCCACTCCTGCCCTTCTGTCACTTCATGGGGCTGAGTCAGGCTTCTCCCACCCGAACTGGAGGGGTCAGCGCTCCAAGATGATAAGGTATAAAGAAAGCAAGGAGGAGGAAGGAAGGAAGGAAGAGAAAGGAAGGCTGGAGAAAAGTGAAGAAAACCCGAAAAAGGCTTGGGGAAGAGGAAGGAAGAGGAGAGAGGCTAGGGGCGGCAGAACAATGAAGGTCTCAGGCCGTCGGAGGCGCACGGTTCCGGCGGCACGTCCGTCCCGCCCGCCTCCGGCCGGCAGCTGCACGCCGCGCAGCGTGTGGGCGCTGAGTCACGGTCCCAGAACAGGGAGCTGCCGCGCAGGTCTGTGGGGGGGCCGCCCTGGTTGGCATCTGCAAACTGGCGTGTGTGTGTGTGTGTGTGTGTGTGTGTGTGTGTGTGTGTGTGGTGTGTTTCTTTTCCTCTTTCATTACAGCTGTGTGCCGACTCCCACGTAGGAGGACTTATTAAACCGCACGTACGGCCTGACGGCGCTCGGGCCGCTCCAGGCGGCCGCCTGAGGGCGCCGCAGCCCCGCTGATGATGCGCCCGCTTTCCTGGGCGCTCCATAAGGGGAGAGCAGGACTCGGGCAATCTTGGCCGGGACCGACGGTGCCCCCGAGGGAGTCTGAAACTTTTTTTTTTTTTTTTTTTGCTGACGTCGTTTCTCACTTTAACCGCGGGGCAGCCCCGGGAAACCCCTCGCTTCGAAGGCCTACGACGGCACCCCAAGTCTCCGAGGCTCGCTTTCCGCCGGGTTCCTTGAGCAACTCCATAAATCTGGGACTCGGTTGCGCAACCCAGAGTCCAGATTCTTCTCCCCACTCGGGCTCACCCTACCCCGCCCGGCCTGCCTGCCACGCGAGGCTGTGACCTCGGGCGTCTGGGCGCAGCCCTGCCCCGCACGCGGGACACGCGCTCTGCGTCCTGCGGTCAGCGCCCAGAGGAGCCACCCCCCCCGCCCCCCGTCTGCTCGGTCGGCCACCTTCCCGCGCCTGGCACTGGGACCCCCAAGACCAGGATCAGGGGTACCGTCCCTCCCAAGACGCTGGAGCCGAGAATGAATCATCAATGAGACAGTTTATTAGTTTTCTATTCTGCATATCACCCATTTTATGTAGATTGTACAGACACGGGATTTTCTTCTTGCACAAGAGGTAAATCAGTCTTTCACAGATTCTCACACACTCCACGCAGCAAACGTTACACCTCGCTGAGACATTCACATATTAAAATAGAGGGGAGAGGGACAATACAACTTCTTTAAAATGCCCATAATACAATATATAACGTACAAAAATATCTCTATATTTGAAATTACCCCAAAAAAAATCTTGACAGCAACAAACTTAAATATTGATAGTTACCTCTGTTTATATACCACGAATTGCACTTTTCCTCGCTAGGTTTTGGAAAGTTCAAGTAATAGTGAGGCTTGCGCCCCTGCGGGGTGACACCCCGTGAGAAATCAGTTTGTGGGCGGGCACAGCAGTGGCTGAGACCCTAGGGGTCCCTGCATAGAATTCCCGGCTTGGCCTCTCGGAGAGCCTGGCAGACACTCGCTCGGATTCTTCAGCCACCCAGGGGCATCTGGGCTCGATTAGGGCGAGAAACTTTGCCTCGGAGCAAGAGGGGTTGGGGGGGGGGGGGCCTGCAGAGTCGGGGCTCGCCGCCGCTGGACGGTGCTTCGCGGTCTGCTGGTGGCTGCCGGGGCTGTTGAGCCAGGATCTCCGTCGGTAGAAGGGGCTTAGCTCCGGGAAGATCTCAGCACCGGGAGGTGTCAACGGGATGCATGCGGGACCGCTCGCTGCTACCGCCGCCGCCTCAATCCTAAAGAGGGTGATGGGCACTCAGTGCGCCCGAGAGGTCGGGCCTTCGCGTACCAGTGACTCCGCGGACAACGGAGCGCTCCGGCGTCGGCGCCCGTAGCCCTTTGGGCTAAGCTTAATTGGGGGAGCGGAAAAGTCCTTATTCTTGTCCGTGACTTGGTGAATCCGATCCGCAAGTTCATGCAAGCTGCACGTCCCGAGGCGACAGCCACCCCGCGGGCGCCGGAGATTCCTCTTCTGTAGGTCACGCTTGACTCGGGCTGCGTCGGGACCGCTGGCGAGAGAAAGGAAGACAACGTGAGACCCCCGCCCCAGCAAGACAGATTCGCGCCGTCCCCTCCCCCTCCTGTCCTCTCGGGAACCGGAACGATCTAGAAGCCGAGGGGGGCTGGAAACAGCAACCGCCTTCTGAGCCTGTCCTGGAGCCCTGACCGTCCCCAGGGCTGCGTCTCCAAGAAGGGAGACCTCCCCCGCCGCCCCGTCCCACCTCTCGCCGCCTTCCGCCCACCCTTCCGCAACTCTCCAGGTAGTTACCTGCTCTGAGGTTTTCCAGAGGCGCCCTTCACGTCCAGCGGCTGAACGACACCCCGCGTCGTCCGGGCTTTCCAGTCACCGAGCCCGGTGGGGTAACTGACGGACGCCCGAACTTCCCTATTGCTATTACTCAGAGCCCGTTGATTCCACCTAGAAAACACAAGTAGACTTGACTCTCTGGCGTCCAGACCAGGTCCCGGACCATCCCGGTTTGCGTTCACGTCCACCACACCCCCCATCCCCACCCCGGGGCAGCAACGTCCCGATTCCCTCCTCTTCCAGGGAATTCGGATTGGAAAGGGCGCTGCCCCTGCCACTCACTTCTTTCGGGACCCCTTCGCCACGTCGAGCGGCGCGGTATCGGCGCCGAGGAAGGCGAACGAACCCAGGTACATGAGGGCCACGGGAACCAGCTTCATCACGGCGGCCGCGGGCAGACCCTGGAGAAGGGGAGAGAAAAAAAGAGGAGCCCAGTGTGAGCACCCTGGCCTGCCGCACCGCGGGGCGGGATACTGCAGACGGGCGGGAGTGCCCCCGGGCTGAGACAGGCGCTGCCCGCACTCCGCGGGACTCAGACGCTTATCTCCCCTGGGCGCAGAGAGGCGCCAGCTACAGTTGCACCCGCCAGTCCAGTGACAGACCCGACCCAGCACCAGGCTCCCAGAGGTGCCCACAATCGGGATTTGATTGACGGAGCAGAGAGAGAGGGGGGCGGAGGGGACTAGAGCTCTGGCGTACAGCCCTATGCACGAGCCCGACCCGAGATGTGGAAAGCACTCGCAGAGGACCCTCCAAAATGAGTCGGACCCTTCACCCAGTGCTCCCCGTGTCTGGCCTGAGCCGCCCCTCCCGAACCCGCCCCGCCAGCGGCGCATACCTGCTCCGTCAAGATCTGGGAAGAGAAAGTCCAAGACGTCACTCTGGCAGCGGTAAAGCCCCGACGCCCAAGCTGCGGTGAAACTCGAGGTAGCAAGGACCGAGCTGTACTGCCTAGTGTCACAAGAACACTGAGTGGCAGGCTCGGGTTCCTCGACTTTATAAGAGCACAGGGGGCGGGGCCTAGGCTGCCACTGCGCCCTCCCTTTCTTCCCTCGGGCGTGCGCGTTCCTGCACTCGGGCGCGTGCCTTGTTTGCCTGTGGATGTGGGGTTTAGGGGTGGGGGTCCTTCATGGCCAAATAACTCAGAGATGAGCTCCTGCAGATTAGTGCAGGAAATGCCCCGACCCTGACTCTGGATGCAGCATTCAGACAGAAACAGGGTCGAAATAGGGCGTCCAACCTCCTTGGGTCTTTCCCGGAGGTCTGTGCAGCCCTGGGTGCGAGGCCTCGTGAATCGGAAGTGCAAGAGCCAGCGTGGGGATACCGGTTCGGCGTGACCCGAGCCCTGGACCTCCCAAACTGTGGCCCAAAGTGAATCGCGCCCCCTACCGGCTTGACTCCTGACCCGGCCGCGACCCCTGAACCCTGAGCCGGGAGAGCGGAGCAGAGCCCAGCAGGTTCCGAGGCGATGCGTATGGGGGGTGGGGGGGTCGCCGGTTGCGAACCCCCGCCCCGCCCCCCTACGACCGATACTTTCGGGTTCTGGGATGGACTAGTCACGTTTCGCAATAGGGGCAAAGCTTGGAAAGGCTGATTTGAGAATTGGGATTTGGAGGGGGGAGTTATCTGAAGTTCCAGAATGTACATGTCTATTTGGAAATAAAGGAATAACCAAAATTAGGACAAAGAAACTGGCTCTTTTTTTCCCCTTCCCTTGTAAGTCAATTATGCCTTATAAGGTTACAACCTGAGAGCATGTCTGGCAGCCCTCTGAGCCGTCATTCACCTATTGTAAATGTGAGGACTTGCTGCCAAGGAGCACACTAATGCTTCATGTATGTTAATCGCTCTACAGTTTTTGTGAAACACGGTCACATCCTGGTCTCTTTGATCCTCACTTCGCATCTACCCCAGAGGTGGTTGAGAGGGGTAAGGTAAGTTTTCTCCTTGTGCCAAACTGAAGTTAGACCAAATTAAATACTTATCCAAAGTCACAACAAAGAGGCCAGGGAAGTAGTACAGTGGATAGAGCACTTGCCTTAAACAGATCAACCGGGTTTGGTCCCCAGCACCCCCTGTGGTGCCCTGAACATTGCCAGAGTGATGCTTGATTACAAATCCAGGGGTAAATCCTGAGCACCATGAAGTGAGGCCCCCAAATTAATAAAAGTCACAACAAGGATGGTAGGGAGAGAAGCCCCCCTACAAGCTCCCTGCAAGAGAAGTATGGCCCACTAGGGTGTGGTACAGATGTTTCTAGGCTGGGGTCATCATCTCCTCTAGGAGGAGAAGAATTTCTTTGTATCTGCCCTAAGATTCATGCATGTTCATGATGAATCACCACCAAGCAGCTTTGCCACCTATTTGTACTCATCCATCAATGCTTCTGAACCTCACGTTCCTATTTCCCTTGGAAGGTCATCCTGGGGAGGGTACTTAGCTCCCTGGGCATCCCTACAGTTTGCATTTGGTCCTCTTTTGTCTAGTCAACCATAACCCCAGTCTCCAAGTGCCACCAATGAGAGGGAAAAGGCCAGGGACCACCCGGACTCTGTGGACAGCCCTGACCCCTTTGACAATCTTCTGTGTATGTTGGGGTAGGCAGGTGGAGGGAGGACATGGGCTTAGAGGGTGAAGACAAGTCACATTTCTATTCTAGCTACCTCATCTGTAGCATGGTCCTGCTGACCTCTAAGTTTCCAATTTGATCTATCCACCCTGGTTCTGGCACCCATGCAAAAAGCCGGGGGCCCTTGCCTGGTCTAGGCTGAGCAACACTGGCTCACTTGCTCTCTGGACTGAACCGTGGACATGGCACTTGGGAAGGAATGACCCCACCAATTTGTTCTGAGGACTTTTCCCCCAAGGGAGTGACCTGAGCAGACCTGAGTTCCTGAGAAGGGCCAGGGACAGATTTTTGATTCTGGTTCTTGAAAGACTCAGGGACAACCAGGGTCAGAGCGTTGATACAAGTTGGTTCAGGCAGCCTGGCTGGCCATACAACAGTCACTACAGCCCTCTGGACAAACAGCTAGTCTGTGGGCGTTGGGGACAGCAGGTACTAACACCCTCTCCACTTGGCTTCCAGAAGCCTCCCCAGTCCAGCTCATTTTGTTTTTCTCACTGATCTCTCATTTCCCATCTCTTCCTTTCATTTCATCCTAGCGTGTCCGGCTCTTCTCACTCACTCCGTGCTGGGGCCCGCTGTCTAGTTTCTCTGAGGATGCGACCTACTTTGCAGCCAGCTTCCAGCTGGGTCTGCGCCAAAACAGGTTTTGCTTTCATTTCCCCCCAAGCGCGCCTAGTACTGCTGGGGAGGTCAAGGACAGCTGGGCGCCGGCGTCCAGTCAGGGAAGGTCCCGTGGTCTGGACTCTTTCCTTCCAGTTTCTAACAGCCCCGGGGGGCTTCACTCTTTAGAGGACCCTGCGGCGAGACCGCGATGCCTCGTCCCTGCCCCCTTTAGAAACGTTTCAGGGTGGGGGACGGTGGAGACGCGGAATTCTCGCTCCCACTGCAGGATTCTCAGACGTGTTCTTGGCGCAAACTTCATTTTGACGAACTGGTGTCTTCAACAAGCAATGCAAATCCGGGAGTGGAGTCTGGGCTCCGCTCGCGCGACTCCAGTGCCTACGCCAGCATCGTGGCTGCGGTGCCAGGAATTTCCACCCAAGAGCCTTGGCAAGCTCCTTATCAGCCCAGGTGCGCCTGTCGCTCTGGCACTGAGACCCGCCGCTGAGAAGCCAGCCAAGTCTTTTTCTAAGCAAAGGGTTAGACTGGCAGCTCGTGATTTTGCTAACACACTGTGTTCGAAAAGGGGTGGGGTTGGGGCGCCCGAGACAGAAATCAGAGACTTACAACTTTCACCTCACGATCCTCAAAGTGTCTTGGGGTGTAAATAGAAAAATAATTTTTTTAAAAATTCCAAACTTGGCACCAATTTCCCACTCCGTTCCCCTGTGCCCCTTCCTGTGAAAACTCAAGTTACTTATTCTTAAAGGAAAAAGGAAAAAAGAAAACTAGAATGTATTTTAGGTTCTAATGCCAAAGGAAATGATACAGCGGGAGTTCTGTTTCTGGTGGTTTGTTAACTTGAACTTTCATCCATCCAAGTTGCAAGTTGCAGTGATAATAGATTCACATTGAGTACAAGGAAGGAAGGAAGGAAGGAAGGAAGGAAAGGAAGGAAGGAAGGAAGGAAGGAAGGAAGGAAGGAAGGAAGGAAGGTAGGCTGGTTTTTATATCTCCGTGACAAGAAGAGAGAACAAAGAGAAAAAGAAACAAAATCCTGGTAATGAAGATCTGCTTTTGTCCCCAAGAATTTCTAATAAGTTTGTTTGTATAAACCCTCAAAGCACTGTAATACATGTATATATCCTGACAGTATAGATACAGATACAATGACAAATGAAATCTCCATTTCATTTTTACATTCCAACTGACTTATTTGTAGCTCTAAATTTAAATCTTAGTAATGTTTATAGCTTTCAACTTTATGTATTCTTATTAATATCATTTTATGCATTTACATGTTATATATTTACAATTTGATCTATCCACACTGGTTCTGGCACCCATGCAAAGAAAATCTGGGGCCCTTGCCTGGTCTGGGCTGAGCAACACTGGTTCACTTGCTCTCAGGACTGAACCGTGGACATGGCACTTGGGAACGAATGACCCCTCCAAGTTGAGGAATCTTCCCCAAGGGAGTCACCTGAATAGACCTGATACATAAATACATAAAATGATATTAATAACATAAAATGATATAAATAAGTATAACTAAAAGCATGGGACTGGGTAATATTACAACAGAGAAGGCACTTACCTTGCATGTGGCCCACCCAAGTGTGATCCCTCACATTCCATAAGATTCCCTGAGCACTACCAGTAGTAATTCCTGAGTGCAGAGCCAAGATTAAACCCTGAGCATCACTCTGTGTATTCCCACTGCCAAAAAAAAACACTATGCAATTAAGTATATTGGATAATTATCTCAAATGTTTTGTGTGACATGAAAATTTAGAATGCATCTATTATTCATATGGCTCAAAATGCCTCCACTAAGCTGAGAGTTTGTTTACAAACTTCACTGGAAAACAATATTTGAGAAATATCCAGGAACCATAGAATAAGGTAGTTTAAAAAAGGAATATAATTGGGGCTGGAGCAATAGTACAGCAGGTACAGCATTTGCCTTGCACGTGACTGACCCGGCTTCGATCTCTAGCATCCCATATGTTTCTTTGTGCACTGCCAGGAGTAATTCCTGAGTACAGAGTCAGGAGTAACCCCTTAGCATTGCTGGATGTGACCCAAAAAGCAAAAATAAAAAGAATATAACTTTTGTGCATTTGGTCATTCACAAAAAGTAAAGCACAATACAAAGTTTGAGAGCACTTATTTGAAATTTGACTTTTATAAGGAGTTAAATAAACTATAGATCCTTCTCCCCAAAACTGTACATATACATAAAGCAATTTAAGTATCAACTGCATTCCATGTTAGTAGTTTATTAGGTGAAAAATACTTAAACTGAATAAAAAGCATTACTTTTGTAGAATTAATATGGTGAGGACAATGAGGGCATATGTAGTATTATGAAATATAATATGACATAATATTTATCTGTTAAGATCATAGCATTTTCAGAGAATCATAAAAATTAATATTTGAATCAGAAACAATCAGCTCTTTTTTTCTGATGAGGTCAGAAGACAAACTCCCTGAAGTTTTAACTTGCCATAGCATGAATGAAAAAGAATACAGAAGATACTAAAGAAGAGAAGCTTGTTAAACTAACAGCTAAGCAGATGAAATGACTTCAAGAAAAATTTAGTACTGACAGTATAATTAATGGCATTAACGAATTGGTTATAAGGGTCTGGAGAGATAGTACAGGGGGTAAGGCATGTCCCTCTCAACACAGCTGATCCAGGTTCCTTTGCTA